GCGATAGTAATCAAAACAGCATGGTACAGGCATAAAAACAGATACATAGACCAATGGAACAAAACAGAAAGCCCAGAAATAAATCTGCACTTTTATAATCAATTGATTTTTCAACAAAGATGCCAAGAACACATAATGGGGAAAGACAGTCTCTTCAATAACTGATGTTAGAAAAATCTGATATCCACATACAGAAGAGTACAATTAGACCGTTATCTCACACCATATAAAAAAATCAACTCAAAATGGATTGAAGAGTTAAGCGTAAGACCTGAAATGGTAAAAACTGCTAGAACAAAACATAGGAAGAAACCAGTATTGGTCTGGGAAATGACTTTTTGGATATGACCCCAAAAGCAGAAGTAAGAAAAGCAAAANTATTGGTCTGGGAAATGACTTTTTGGATATGACCCCAAAAGCAGAAGTAAGAAAAGCAAAAATAGACAAATGGAATTACATCACATAAAAAAGCTTTTGCAAGGCAAAGGAAACAATTAACAGAGTGAAGAGACAACTGACAGAAAGGACAGAACGTACAAGAGTACTTCAAAAAGTTCATAGAAAGATTCTTATTATCTTGCAGTAACTTTATCTCTTTTTGGTATCAGAGTAATACTGGCTTTATAAGATGAATTGAGAAGTGTTTCCTCCTCTTCTGTTTTCTTAAGAACATTGGATAGAATTGGCATTAGTATTTTTTTAAATGTTTGGAATAATTTACAAGTATAGCCTTCTGATTCTGGTCTTTGCTTGATAGAAAGTTTTTGATTACTAATTCAATTCCTTTACTTGTTACAGAACTATTGAACAGGACACAAAATCTTTGCTTCATACCCCCTTCCTTTATGTGGTTATTAACACAAACACTACATCTTTATGCATTGTATGCTCATCAACACAGATTTATAATTATTGAATTACAAAGTTTTCTTTTAAATCAAATAGGAGAAAAGGAGGTAAACAAAAATGTGTGTGTGTGACCTGTACTTCCTCATGTGGATTTGGGTAATACTGACTGTCTTTTCATTTCAGCCTGGAGAACTTCCTTTACTATTTCTTATAGGATAGGTCTGATAGCAATAACTCTTCTCAGTTTCTACTTTTATGGGAATGTTTTAATTTCTTCTCTATAATTTTGTGCTAAAATTTTATGGTTTATAAAATATTTTAGTATTAACTATAACTGAATATGCCTCATTTTTATGAAGATAAACATAACATTAATGTCACCATGTAAAAGTATGGAATTTAGTGGTTTTTAGTATATGCCAAAGTTGTGAAATCATCATCAGTATGCAATTTGAAGACAGATTTATGAACATAAAAACAAACTCAGTGCCCATTAGAACCCAATCCACACTCCCTGTACCCCCAGCCACTGGTAACCATTCATTGACTTCATTTCTCTATGAATTTTTTATTCTGAACAATCGTATAAATGGGAACATACAATATGTGGCCTTTATATCTGGCTTCTTTCACTTAGCATAATGTTTTAAAAGTTAACCCATGTTGTAGCATTTATCAGTACTTCATATTTTATAACCAAATAATATTTCATTGAATGGATACAATACATTTTATTTATTCATTCAGTTGATGGACATTTGGGTTGTTTGCACTTTTTGGTTTTTGGCTGTTATGAATAACGTTGCTATAAACATTCTTGTACAAATCTGTGTGTGGACATTTGTTTTCAATTCTCTTGGGAATATACAGAGGAGTCAAGTTGGTAGGCCGTAAGGAAACTCTATGTTAAATTTGAGGAACTGCCAGACTCTTTCTCCAAACTGGATGCACTACTTACCTTCCTACCAGCAATATATGAGGGCTCCAATGTCTCCACTTCCTTGCCAATGCTTGTTACTGCCAGTCTTTTTTTATTATTATAGTCATACAGGTGAGTGTGAAGTGGTATCTCATTTTGGATTGGATTTCTATTTCACTGGTAATTAGTGATGTTGATTGTCTTTTCATGTGTCTATTGGCCATTTTTCTGGGAATAATGTCTATTTAAATATTTTACTTATTTCGGAATATTAACCTTTTAATTATTGAGTTATAGATGTTCTTATATATTCTAGATACAATTCCCTTATCAGATATAAGATTAGCAAAATTTTTCTCACAGTTTGTGGGCTGTCTTCCTCCTTTATACATTATAAGCTGGGAAGCACAGAAGTATTTAATAACTGATGAAGTCGTATTTCTCTATTTTTTTGTTGCTTGTGCAGTTGCAGTTATATCTAAGAAGCCATTGCCTACTACAACATCACGAAGACTCAGAACTACGTTTTCTTCTAAGAATTTTCACTTTTACATTAAGACCTCTAATCTATTTTGAGTTAATCTTTTGTTAATCTTTATAATAACAATTATATGTATTTAAGGTGTACAACGTGATGTTTTGATATATAATGAAATGATGACTACAGTCAAACTAATTAACATATCGTTCTCCTTGCATAGTTACCGTGTGTGCGTGCATGTGTGCATGTGTGTATTGAGAACACTTGAAAACTATACTCGTAGCAAATTTCCAGTACGCAATACAGTATTACTAGCTATAGTCATTCTATTCTACATTAATTCTCTAGACTTACTCATCCTACATAACTATGACATTGTACACTTTGGCCAACATCTCCTCATTGTCCCCACATTCCTGCCCCTTGTAACCACTATTTTATTCTCTGCTTCCACGTATATGAATTTTTTAGATTCTACAAATAAGTGAGATTTTGCAGTATTTGTCTTTCTGTGTATGGCTTACGTCACTTAGCCTAATGTTCGTCCATGCTGTTGCAAATGGAAAGATTATCTTCTTTAAAGCTAAATAATATCCCCATGTGTGCGTGTCACACTTTCTTTACTACATATCCATCTATGGACATTTATGTTGTTTACATATCTTGGCTATGGTGAATAATACTGCAGTGAACATGGGAGCACAGATACCTCTTCAAGGCACTGAATTCATTTCCCTTGAGTAAACACCCAAAGAAGGAATTTCTGGATCATATGGTAGTTCTATTTTAAATGTTTTGAGGAACCTTCATAATGCTGCCCGCAATGGCTGTACTAATTTACATTCCTACCAATAGCGTGCAAGGGTTCCCTTTACTCCAAACCCTAATGCTTATCTCTTGTCATTTGGATAATAGCCATTTTAACAGGTATGAGGTGATCTCGTTTGCGTTTTGATTTGAATTTCCATGATAATTAGTGATGTTGAGCATTTTAACATATACCTACTGGCCATCTGTATGCCTTCTTTAGAAATATGTCTATTCAGATGCTTTGAACATTTTAAAAACAGGGTTGTTTTGTTTCTTTCTTTTGGTGTTGCTAACAAGTTATGTGAGTTCTATATATATTTGGCATATTAACCCCTAATAAGATATATGATGCACAAATGATTTATCTCAATCTTTAGGCTGCCTATTCATGTTGTTGATTGTTTCCTCTGCTGTACAGAAGATTTTAGTTTGATATAATAATCCCATTTGTCTATTTTTGCTGTTACCTGTGCTTTTGGGATCTTATTCATAAAGTCTTCAGCCAGCCCTACATCTCTGTAACTTGAGCTTTTGGTGTCATAGCCAAAAAATCGTTGCTAAGGCCATTGTCATGGATTTTTTTCCCTGTGTTTTCTTCAAAAAGTTGCATGGTTTCTGGTGTTACATTTAAGTTCTTAATCCATTTTAACTTAATTTTTGTGAATGGTGTAAGATAACGGTTCAATTTCATTCTCTTCCATGTGCATATCCAATTTTCCCAGAACCATTTATTGAAGAGACTATCCTTTCCCATTGTACGTTCTTGGCACCCTTCTCAAAAATTAGTTGACCATATTATGCTTGGGTTTATTTCTGAGTTCTCTATCCTGTTCCATCAGTCTGTGTGTCTAATTTTATGCTACTACCATACTGTTTTGATTATTATAGATTCGTAATATAATTTGAAATCATGAAGTGTGATGCTCTAACTTTTTTATTCCTTCTCAAGATTAGGAAGGCTATTTGAGATCTTTTGTGATTTCATACACACTTGAGAGTTTTTTCTATTTCTGCAAAAAATGCCACTAGACTTTTGATAGAGTTAGCATTTGGATAGAGATTACCTTTAAATACTATGGATATTTTAATAATATTTATTCTCCAATCCATGAAAATTTCTTTGTGTCTTCTTCAATTTCTTTCATCATTGTTTTATAGTTTTTAGTGTACAGATCTTCCACCACTTTGGTTAAATTTATTCCTAAGTATTTTATTCTTCAATGCTATCATAAATGGGGTTGTTCTCCTTTCATATAGATCATTGTTAGTACAAAGAAGTGCAACTAATTTTTGTATATTGATTCTTTATTTTTCTAAGCATATATCTTTCATTATTTACATGCACTGGGGCTCACAAAAATATCTTGTTAGAATTCAAGGGTAAATTCAGGGGCTTATTTACCCTTTTAATGAAGGAAAAAAGGTTGGACTTAATTAAGCAAAGTTTATGGGAGTCCATTAATTGGACTCAGTAAACAAGAATGGAGATACTTGAGCTAAATGCCATGAAATCAAATTAGCAGTGGGCCAGTTCCCCCCCAAAATCAGAAGATTCACAGGAATAACACCTGAGCCACCATAAGGAAGTCCCGGGTATGTTAACTGTGTAAGTAAGTTAACTTTGAAATGATTCTAGAAATGCTAATTAAATCTTTAAAGTTTTTGTCAAGTTGTTTTTTAATAGGCTTCACGTGACTAGGATGTATGGAAATACATGGGTGAAGTAATGAAAGATATGGGCTACTTTATTGACATCTGTTTATGCTTACTCACCTTGGTGTTGGCTCTCAGTCTTCAGTGAGAATGGTATCTCTTCTTTCTCTGGTATAAAAGGGGCAACTTCCTTAAAGGGCAACCCATGTCTTGCCTTTAAGGCAGAAAAAGCCTAAAAGAGGATAGAACTTTTCCTGCATCTGTTGAGTCTCAAATGCCTTTAGCTCAAATTAATTCTTATGGCATATGTTAGAATAGCATGTTCCGATCCCCTTTGGGGCAAGCTCAGGTAGGTAATAGAAATAGTAAACCTAAAACAAACAGCCAACAATTTTACTAATACACAAATTTGAATATTGTAAATATAGTCAGTGGAAATTTATTATCAATATCAGCAGGGACTCAAAGGTTAAATGTTGATTTTTTATCCTGCAACATAACTGAATTTGTTAGTTCTAACATTTTTTTCACGGACTATTTTGGGTTTTGTACATATGAAATGATGTCATCTGGAAACAGACCATTTAACTTTTTCTTGCCCAATTTGGATGCCTTTTCGTTGCTGTTGTCGGATTGCTCTTGCTAGTACTTCTGGTACTATGCTGAATAGAAATGGTGAGAATGGGAATCCTTGCCTCATACCAAGTCTTAGAGGAAAAGCTTACAGATTTTCCCCATTGATTATGATATTAGCTGTGGGCTTTTCA